AAATATCTGCCTACGATAAGTTGTGATAATTTTAATTTGAAAATTCACTACTGTACTCAATTTAAGTTTACCATAAATTAATAAGTTACATTTTAATCAAGGATATTAAGCGAAATTAAAACGAAAATTATATCAAATGCTAACAAACTTAAAAGCTTCACCTTGCTTTATAATTATTCAAAATGAATAAAGTGAACAATTTTGATAGAGTTGCAGATTTTCAATCTTCCAATCGATTTCCATCGTTTACTATTCGAGTTTATTCTTTTGCTCGCTTTATTCACGCGTATGTGTTGCACTCATATTTCATGTTTTCGTGTTTTTTACGATGTATTCAGGGGACAAAAAACGAAAATTCTATTTCAACGGGTAATTACACGATAGGCGAAGTCCCCAGCAAGATTTCAATTCATGTGCCGCAAGAGGTAACTTTAAAGGGGCACTTGATTAACTTCGATTAAAACAAAAAGAGAACTTGTGAAGTATCTGAAGAGCCCTCTCAGTCTTCCGAGGCAAAGTAGCCGATGAGCTGCTTTTTAAATTCGATAACGACTTCCGAAATGAGAAAAATCCTCAAATAACTAGTTTTTATCATTTTAGCTCTGAAATTACGAACCGTTTAGGTAAATCCAAGTCTTGGATTAAACAAATCCGGTCATGAATAAAAAACTTGCATAATCGTCTTATAAACACAAATTACCGCGGGATCCTTGGAAATATAAGTAATTCTCGCTTAAGTGACTTACTTCGTACGGTTTTAAAGGTTAATTAAGGTGAACTGAAATCCCCTCAAGTCAGTCGATTCGAATAAGACACTTTTTTCAAGGATATTGAACCAAATCGTCTGAAACTTTGACACTTGACTTGTGAGCACCTAGGAATTATCCTGACACTTTCAAAATTTGAAAGTTCGAAAATTACTTTGTAACTTAGTCCAGACTAGAACCAAAATGGCGTTGAGCTCTGATACTTCGAACGATATCAAATTATTGAAGGCTCTGATATGAGAAACGAAAGTATTAGGACAATTGTATGACAATTTAGAACACTGGTAATCGAGAAACTCCCTTTTGAACGGGATAAAGGCAAAAAAAGTGTCTTATGCGCGGCTATGCTAAAACGATTGTAATATGACGTCTCGGAAATAATTTTCTTTTATGATATAATTTCTTTTCTTTTATAGATATAATTTCTCTTTAATAATTTACCTCACGTCTCTAGACGTTAAAGGATACGTAAAATTTGTTATTTGAAAAATGAAATTTCCCGAGCATCGTGTTCTACCTTAAGACTATTTAGGATTTACCCTAGCGTGAAAACGAAACGAAAAAGCGGATCGAGAAAGGGTATCGTTTGTATTAAAAATGGGGTGCAACAACAAACGCATTACCAATGTAAGACATGTGACGTAGGACTTTGGGTATACCCGTACTTTGAAACTTTTCATACGAAATTACGTTATTAAATTATATTTTGTAGTTGCATTATAAATAAACTCATCTTTTATCCGTTATGCATTAGTTTTCTTGCAATTTAAATAAAGCGTTAATAATTGACCTCGCGTCCCTAGGCGTTAAAAGATACGTTCTCTCGGCAGTGAAATTTAAGGGCGTCTTCGTTGGGATTGCCCCGTACCGAGGCAGCGCTTCTACGAGCCGATCCGCCGTAGTGAAAAGGTTAAAGGATAATTAAATTACGGAGAGCACCACCTCATAAAAATGAGAAACAAAGAGATAGAGAAACAGTCGAGATACGAGCCCTTCCTCACAATGAAAAGGACATATGAATATGAGGAACATCGAGATAAGGAGAACCCGAAGGCGCTGGAGGTCGGGAAATCCAATCCCGAGGAAGCGGAGGGTGTAAAGGAAGCACGAAAAACGAGAACGGAGAAAATGAGCCGAGTACAAGGATTGCGGGCACCCACGCCGCGGGGGGTGCAATTGCACATGCAAATTTACTTTTCGATTTAAACGTATTACTGCTTGTCTACTCCGCCGACGCGAATTGTAATGCCACGTCAAGCACTGCACCTGTTCAAGAGTCTATATAGAGTGCACAGCGAACAGTGAATTCTTCAAGTTGTTCGGCAATTCTTTCTATTCGTAGGTAACAATCTCCCGGATTCCCGACATTCCCGAAAGGACATAATAACGCTTCCTCCCATCGCGCTTAATTGAATAATAAATATTGCGCAATAAATTGAATTAACACATTCGCGACAGGCAAATTTTTTCCGTTTCAAATACTGAGTACCGGCGAAAATAATGAAATTCTGAAACTGGTTGCCGTAAACTTGTATCGTTAAAGGACGTGATTCACGTCAACGGCAATCAGGAATAGAATTTAAAATGACGTGAATTCACGTCAGCGGTCGCGAATGTGTTAAGAAACTCAATAGAGTTCCGCGCCAAATATATTAGGGGGACCGAAAAGAAATCCATTATTTTTTATACTTACTACTAAGATATATAGACAATTTCCGTCAGTTTGAACGTATTACTACGGAATCTGGGACATCCTGTATATTTTAATGTTTCAGAGAAAAGGTTTTAAAAAAAAATGTATTTTGGGTTAATGAAGTTGTGCTCAGATTCATGAGCCCTAATAGCACAAAATATTTGTCCTATTTCTTTCTTTTATTTCTATTTATGATCCAATTAAANATGTTCATAAGTTAAAAAATATAATTTCTCTATATGTGTATAAATTATTGAAACTAAATGTGTCATTGAGATTTTCAACAAATATTTCAGATATGTTCGAATGGAATCTTCAAGAAATCTTAAAGAATCTGTCGCTTGAGATACTTAGCAAAGATGACAAAGAAATATTTAGAAATTATTCAATGCTACCAGGGAGTATTCAATGAAATTTGTCAAGCTGAATTCTGTTGTAGATTTATAAAGGCTCTATTTTGATTTTCTGAAATCTTGCCATGCAACGGCGACAGCTTTTCAAGAATAAGAATTCAAGAATCGGTCAATCAAACTGCTTGCGAAAATGGCTGACCGACTTAACCTCATTTTTGGGGAAGGTCCAGAAAGTTTAACTCGTAAAAAGTATAAATATTGATACTTCTCGGTGTATATCCTGTCAACTACATGCAGAGACATTTTCCTTAAATAAAAATATCTAAACGGAAGTATTTACAGTAATTTGTTCCTAATGTCTTTTACAGTTCACGTAGTAAATGTACAATGTCAGCGGAGGTGCCGTTCGTCTTCCCTGGGGCGACAAATGGGTCGACGGATATTACTATTCCTTGGAAATAAACTTGATAAATCGCAGCAATATACATTTAACCAGACTGTTAATAATGTTTCTTCCCAAGGACATTTCCGGATAGGATAAAAAGTTTCGAGGACTCGGACGAAACTTAATCCCAAGTTGATGCCGTCAGAAATTGGAGGGATGAAGCGGCGGATTTAAAGGGTGCCTTTCCTCGTTAAACAAAGCTTCCTTAAATATTTTTCTTCTTGCTTATGGAAACTTGTTAGACTTCACGGGAGGAAAGTAAGTAATTACGACAAGGGTTATCCGAGAGTCGCATTCTTCGTGATATCAACTAGAGGGGCATTTTTTAATGGGACACTTTCAACCATGTGTACACCTCCCACATGTGTAAAGCTCTCGGTAAGTACGGACATTTTATGACCCTACGGTGGTATCGCTACGAGATTACGAAATAACATTTCGTACATAATCTCTAAGTACCCCAGAATGAGAAAGTCATAACAGTTCTGCCCAAGAGCGACTTCTGCGTGCCAGTAATAATTTAAACAAAGTTATCAGATCTTATCAAAACCATGTTAGAGCAAATGGGCTCCGGAAATGGTTTAAATATACTTTTTAGGGCAAAAACAAGATAATCCAGTAGTTCTATATTGCTACCGAATTGATTATAACATTTCCCATGGAAATTATTTCAAAAGATTTTATCGCCACGGATCCATTTTACACCCTCCAGTTAACGAAGTATAATGAATTACAACGAATTCCACTTAGTTGAAATATGGATTGATTGAGAAATCTGTACATCTATTGAAAAGCTTTGTACACCAACATATTAAGACATATCCTCATTCGTTTGAATCCCTTGTCAGGAAGTACAGGAATTTAACCCCTTAAACACGGAGCCATTTCGACATATGGGCGAAATTCGTCTGACCGTGCATGGAATATTGGACCAAACGTCGAGCGCCTTTAGGCGCTCTTAGGAGCCAAAGGGTTAACCCTTATCATACCGATTAATAACAACATAAAGAATGAAAATTCCAAAGATATTAAATGAATAATCGTTATATAAGCTAGTTTCTTCAAAATGTCTCCCAACAATTTCAATTAATTCGTAGCTTGTCAGTAAATTGTGCAATATACATTTAAACAAACACCTACGCAAAACTATGTCCAACACCTCGAGTAAGACGATCAAACGTCAAAATGAAAAAAGAAAAGAACAGTCATAAACGTTGAAATCTATCCACAGGTGAAAAAGGAAGTACGAGACTGTATGACTTCCAAAATAAGCAGTATGTAAATATCTGTTATAAAAATGAATATCTTCGGGTACACGATGTTACAATTACGAAAGCGTCGCTCTGATAGTCCGAGAGAAAATGTCGACACAGGAGGAATTTTGTACTCCGACATTGGCATCACTGTCCGGACTGCGAAACGAAATAAGGAGCGTAACTACTCGGCGTACCGCGCCCGAGGAACCTCATTACAGCAACGAATTGCAATGGAACTTCTATCGAGATTACACCTCGTTAAAAATGCAAGAGGCTAATTTTTTTCCCGCAATTATCGCAAAACCGGCGGGGTAATGGAACGCGGGTAATGAGAGAAATTTTTTGCAATTTCTTTCGGGAATCCGGAGCCACGCCGTGAGTACCAGTGAGTACTTTGGTGGAGAACGTCAATCGCGCTCTCCCTACTCCGAGGAAGAAAGAGAGCTCGAGGCTATAGCGCTTCCATACATCGCTGGCCATGTAATCGGCACGGTGCGGTATTGTGATCGAAATGTTATCCCCGTAGTTTCCGTGTTCCGATTCGGTTATACGCGAGACATTTATTTCCCGAGTCGTTCCTAAGATATAAGTCGTATCGTCGAGCGGGGACGGGAAAAAATTAATATGTAGAACGCGAGTTGGCGGGAAGTTTTCAAATGTGATCGTGGCCCACGCGTGTAGTTTGTGTCAGTCGATTTGTGAATTATTGCCGACCTTCGCGAAGGTTTACCTCGTTTTTACATCGTGCCCACGTGTGCAGCTTGGGTCAGTCGATTTGTGAATTACTGCTGATCTTCGCGAGGATTTGCTTCATTTTTACATCGTGGCCCCCGTGTGCAATTTGTGTCAGTCAATTTGTGAATTATTGCCGACCTTCGCGAAGTTTTACCTCATTTTTACATCGTGTCCACGCGTGCAATTTGTGTCAGTCAATTTATGAATTACTGCCAACCCTCGCAAAGGTTTACCTCGTTTTTACATCGTGCCCACGTGTGCAACTTGTGTCAGTCGATTTGTGAATTACTGCTAATCTTCACGAGGATTTGTCTTATTTTTACATCTTGGCCCACGCGTGCAGTTTGTGTCACTGAATTTGTGAATCGCTGCCGATCTTCGGGAGGAATTACCTCATTTTTACATCGTATCCACCACGTGATGGAGCAGGGCGAGTTTGTAGGTAATGATGCCGGCGATACATGACAGTGACCCCAAGTTCTGTACAATTGATTAGTCACTAAGTAAAAAATTAGGAATGTTTAATTGCGTTGAAAATTAATGCCGTTGCATGTCACGTACACTGAGAGAACAGTTTAATCCTAACAAAGAAATTTCTTTAAACTGCATTTACTAGAGCAAAACAATTATTTATAACAATCGGCAAAACGTTTAATTGATTTCGGTAACGGACCGATTTTCACGTGCTTAAGTGAAATACGAAAGTGTCATATATATACGTACCAGAAGTCAAAATATCTATAAAACTTTTCTCCAAATTAGGTGTACCGAATGATTTTAAACTTCATCACGAGATTATGGAGGCCCTTAAAAAGAACGCGATGTTCGTGAAATTTAATTTTTTGACAATAATTTTATAATTATCTCGGACAAGAATCAAAGAATAAACCTTTTTCTTTTCAAAAAATGAAATTACACGAACATCGCGTTCTTCCTTAGGGCCTCTATAATCACGTGTTAAAGTTTCAGATAATTTGGTGCACCCAGTTTGAAGAAAAGTTTTATAAACATTTTCACGGTTTGATTTATATATATATAGGTGATATGAAATATTTATATTAATTAAGGTGATATGAAGTGGTCATTCAGAAAGGGTCAAGGGTAAGGGTGATCTTTGTTGGTTCAACCATAGAATACGGTTATTACATGGACAACAAAATATTTGATCGAAACAACAAAATTCTTTGGTTAATAACTCTTAGTTGATTATCTCAAATATTAATGTAATTTGGTGCATTTAACCAAAACATTCGGTTTATTGAATAAAATATTCTGTAAAATTAACAAAACGATTTGGACGAAGAATTTAAGTAGATCTAAGCAAATGTGTTTAATCAAGTGAACTTAAATTCGGTTCACTTAATCAAAACGTATTCTGAAATTAACCAAATGCAGGTGATCAAACAATTTCGTTGAATGAACAAACATTATTCCTGCGTGTGCAAGGAAATTATAAGTTATCTCAGCTTTTCACTCCTCGAAACGAATCGACGTTTCATTTTAATACGTTCATGTACAGAAAATCTAAAAGTAATGCATAAAAAGTACTTAAATCTAAGCTCAATAAAATCAAGTATTGTTTGAAATCAATATTCAATTCATTCAAGCGACCCTGCAACTTTTCTCGCTAATAATAAATAGAAACTTATTTAACATCAAACTTTTTTTACAAAATGAGTTTTTCACTCAATTTACGATGATTTCCGACTTTGAGCATTAAAAATGTGTTACAGCATGTGTTCTATTAACGCTTATTCTGCGAAAAAAAAGGAAATCTACATTATAATAGTATTAATCACCATGTAAGTAATCAGTACAATCTTGTAATCAGAAAGCTATTCTTGTAATTTCCGTTCTTTCCTTCAGACTTATACATGCGATGTATGTTCTATTGCGAACATATAAATAAGTAGTATCATTGAACGGTGATAGAAAAGTATTAACAAATATACAAGATGTGTGTTCATAGAAAGTTTCGAAATATGATCATGGCCAGTATGTGAAATCAATGTAGATTGTGTGATTACAGAGATTTAAATCGTATGTAGCATGTGCTGGAGCGATTGAACGTGTAGGTAATGTTGCAAGGAAATATAACAAGATTAGATTACATAATCAATAACTAAATAATTAAACAACTTTTTTCTGTTTAATTGTATCGATGAGTTGATATTGTCGTAGGTCACGTAACAGCCACGATATCGATACCTGTCTTTATCTCCATGATAAATTATTGATTACTTTACTTGCACTGTACTTTGAAACCTCATATTAAGAATATGATATTATAAAAAATATATCAAATAATATTGAAAATATAAATACTACAAAAGTGTATCAATATGAAAAATATGTGTTAGAAAGCATCAATTATTATAATTTTTTTCGGGAAAACAATGAGCTTCCGTCTCTCTGTGTAAGTTATTAGCATGATGTTACGACAGCAGTAAGTTATTCTCGCAAATATTTGGTACAAAAATATTAATTTACAAAACACACGTTTGCGAGAGATTTAAAATGTGAACATATCCAGTACAAGCAGTGACAGCTGATTTTATGAATTACAACTGACCTTTGGATGAATTTAAATTCTATGCAGTAATGCAAATTCTGGGCAAAGATCCCGACGAAATATGCCAGTATTAATACATATTGATGTATTAAACACATGGATTTTTTATCATTATAATTATTAAATTGCATTCGAGATTAATTTGCTGCTGTAGGTCACGTATCGGTCACGATACAGATATGTCCTTTAATCTGTATGATAAAGTATTGATTATTCTATTTTTATTGCCCCTTGATTTTAGTCTTTGAATATTAAAATCACGTTAAAACAATTGTTAAAATATTTACTCTACGGAGACTAGAAAACTCTGCGAAGCTGGAGTTACGTTCGCTGTGTGAATAATCAGCAAGGTATCATGATTGAAAAGTTATTCTTGTAATATCAGTGTTTTGATTCAGTTATACGCCAACAATTGTTTTTCCAGTTATTAATGGATGAAAAGAGGAAAATATTAATATGTAAGCCGTGTTTGGAAAGGCTCGAACTATAGACATAGCCGGTACTAATTTATGTAAAATCAGTGCCAACTACTTTTGTGATTTATTGAATGAAGTAGGCCAAGTTTGGAAGCCAATTTTCCGCGGACATAAATCATTTCTAATTAATAAATAATTAACCGTTTGAACGCCATGAGGCGTTGAGAAAATTTACTCGAAAAATTCCAAGCGGCATGCAGCTCCTTGAATTGTTCACATCTTCCCTGCCTCTTAATATTTACAAATTGAAACTAACGCGCCGATAAAGCCCATTATTTATTGGTATTTATTTACTTCGCAGCGACACTGTTCGACCCAAAAATGCGAACAGCGCAATCAAACGATAAAATAATTGACAATTAAACCTCTTCGGTGACACTTCAGACTGATGTTCTTTTATTGCACATCATATACCAATGCCGATATCAAGTCATGTGCTTTTATCCACGGATCATTTGTTGCTTTATCTTTATTGAGCCAAAAGCAAAGGCACTTGATTAATAAAAGCGCGTTAAAAAAAGTCTGTCGTTAAAGCCTGCTGAAGAGACGAATAACTCCGGGAAATCTCAGTGCTACAATCATGTGAGATATCCAGCAGAACGTTTTCATGGAAAAGTAAATAATCTTAAAATATCAATTGACTATCTACTTATATCTACCATAGAAGAGAAATAGCTTCACGTGAGGTTGCAGTGATATAGTCGCCGTGTCATTTGTCCAACACGGGCTTATGACTGAAAAGTTATTCTCGTAATTTCCCTTTAGTGCTTCAGATTTATACTGGTGATTATGCTTGAGGGGCTATGAACGAGAGGCTATAGCAAAATATTAATATTCAAGACGTGTGTTCGGGGGGACCGAAATTTAAACGTAACCAAGTGCAGCCAATCAGTCAGCTGATTTCGTGAGTTACAGTAGACCTTCGTGAGGGTTTACATATCGAATCCGGCACGTGATGGAGCAGGGAGAATTTCTAGGTAAATTTGATAGACCAAACTAGATAACAGTGATTTTCTTCCATATTTCATTCCTACACCCAATTTTTTTAAATCAACCCTTACACTTCATTTATATGCTTCGCTATTACAGCTGAGAGACGATCAATGGTGATTTTCTGATTTGCTTAAAATATGGCGCGTTGGTTTTTAAATTCTTGCTCCCGTTTACTAAAATTTCGCAGCTGATATATTCGGCCTGTAATGCAAAGTGAGCGAAACTTTTATTTATTTTTCATTTATATACTATAAATATCGAATTTATTTTCATTTCCGTTTACTACTCTTACCTTATCTACGTCATACAAAGTTATGCTTGAATTCCATGATAATCATTTTGCGCATAAGTGACCCTAAATAGTTTGAATTTGTTGCATCGTGAACACGACGATGCGAACATTAAAGATCCATGAAAAAATGATAATCGTTTATTGTTACTTTAATAGAGGAAGAGCGTTTTACGGTGCCATAATCCCCGTGCAAGTAAACTACTTCAGTTTTATGACTGGGAAGCAACTCTCATGATCTCCATATTATTCAAACATGCGAGGATAATTAATCCAATCTTTAAATACCAGACGTTAACACAATTTAACTAAGCTAACTTAAAAAGTTCAATTCGCGGAGGATCTCGTTTATGAATACAGCTGACGAGTATATTTATTAACTCATTATCGGTGCCGATTAGTCCCGAATTTCGCTTTCACTTTTTTGCAGACATACGAGCCAAGCTTTCAAGATTAATACCTGTCTGAGTAATATCCATCGATGATAATGAAATAGATCTCAGTTTTATGACTAGGAAGCAATTCTCATAATCTCCATATTATTCAAACATGCGAGAAAAATTAATCCAATTTTTAAATACCAGACGTTACCACAATTTAACAGTTCAGTTCGCGGAGGATCTCGTTTATGAATACAGCTGACGAGTATATTTATTAACTCATTATCGGTGCCGATTAGTCGCGAATTTCGCTTTCCCTTTTTTGCAGACATTACGAGCCAAGCTTTTAAGATTAATACCTGTCTGCGTAATATCCATCGATGATACATATATATATTTTCCACTCCACCTCAGAACTACCGACACGTATCTGCCATAAGATGAAACAAGGTAAATTTCCAAATAATATTTCAACGTAGTATTACCGATTGCGTCAACAGGAAAACCAGAGAAGTCACTCGACAATGCAAAACACGTCACAGCCTCCACAGAGTTGCTAAATTGCCGCGAATTCATTATAAACCGGATTTAAGACCCACTTATGGTAATAAGTTTCACATCTTTCGAGGTCAGTAGTTTTTAATCCTTTCAAAGTCATCTATACTTCTCTACTGATATACTTATATACTACTTATGATATGATAAATAGAACAAATTTCTTTGTGCATCTGA